TGTAACCCTCTTTTTTCGCTTCCTCCGCGCTCTTTTTTAGTTGAGTTATTTCGTATGTCTTTTCTGCTCTCAAGCTTCACCAACTTCCCCGCAGATTACTTGTCTTTCCTGGACAGATGGCGGACTTTCTGCTTCTCCGCTTCAGCTGAATTTAACCAGATCGGCAAGTCGGCCGTCTCTTGCTTGCCATCTCGGCCAGTTTCTTTTCAGCCTCTTTCTAGCTTGGCCACCTTTGCCTCGGCTTCCGCCATTGCCTGCCTTGTGGTTTTTCTTAAGCTCTGGACCTTCTTGTACGGTAATGTTATTTTTTTGTAAGGTCCTTGACAGAACGAAGACTTTCCTTAAGCCGAAGTAAAAGTTTGAAAAATTTAGAAAGAAGAAACGGACAGAGCTACTTACCAATATTAATGGATTTCGAATTGTAGACCGGATGACTTCATCCGGTGTTCAAATTGCTTGAGGTGGTTGCTCCATGTCCTTTGCGGGAGGCACACACTATTTGGCCAGATTAAAAGCCAATAGATGATCTTTTTCAAGCAACAACCGAATCAGAGCTTTTGATGTCTCGGTCGTTGAAGGTTAGCTGCGGAGGCCCATTTCGAAGATTCTTGCTCGGTCAGTTTGCTCCGGGTTGGAGGGTAGGTTGAGGACTTGGGGGATGGATTCAAACCTTTCGAACAAGTTGCTAGTTCGGTCGAGGAGATCGGACACGTTTGGAAGGGCGAGATGAAGAAGGCTGCTGAGAAGGAAGGGCCACAACGGCAGGCTGCATTTCTAAGGATGGTTGCACTTCAGGTGTCCTGGGTTTTGTTGCGGTCAGAAAGGGCCTCACTCTGCTTTTTTACTTCGCCATCTCTTCTTCACTTTAGTGGGACAATCATATTTCGGGGCAAGTTTGGGTCCGGTTCAGGTGCTTCCTGTAGAAGGAATCGGTCACTCGGGCCCTTTTCGACGACCGCGTATATCTGTAGTCGGCTCAAAGCTTAGAATCTTAGACCAAACTTCTTTTCCTTATCCATATGCGCTCGAAGTATGTTCAGATTGGTTAGCTATAATGGGATGCAAGATGAGCTGAGTCTACAAAAAAATATACAACTGTTAGATCGGTCACATTGACTCCTGAAACGAAGTACAAAGAAAAAACATGCATTAAACCGAAGTAACTTACCAGGTTCTCCTTTCTTCAGTTAATTACTTCGCGCCTGGGATTTGCTTGGCGACCTCAAAATTGCCCGCATTACCCAGAAGAAGTCATTCATCAATTAACATCCTTATCCGGTGTATCTTTTATTATGCTTTTCTCTACGTCGGCGTATCCTTTTAAGGTAATAAACCAGCCATCATCTTTCGGAACCTATGGAAGTACTGGTGGAAGATTTCGGCTAAACCGAGTTTAGGCCTGTTTGCGCGGGTTTACTCGGCGATACCCATTATTATCCGTATGTATGGTGGATAGCTGGTTGGGCATAGTCTTGGTTTGGCTAAGAAATTCACAAATTAAAAGGCTGGACCGGCGAACCTTAGTCCAGTTCTATAATGGATTAAAACAGTAAATGGGGACGTAGCCTTGGTATTCCACGGAATGGTTTCCTTCTTTGCTAAGAGTAAGAATGTACATCGTCTGGAATGCCATAATCCCTTCGGAATCGGCCATGCCACCAGGGGTCTCTTACCAAATACCTATTACTTACCCATTTGTTGGTATAAATTATTAATAAGTAGTTCGGTCGGAAGATTGCGACTTCAAGTAAGCTCGTTGAGCCAAGAAGGAATTGCCTGGGCAACTAAGTCTGCAAAGTAGAAAACAAAGGGTAAGCCACAGATCATAGGACCGTGCTACAAATTAAAAACAACGTAAAAACGCCCTATTTTCTGGATTTAGGGCATGATGATATCCGGTTGACAAAGGTTTGGTAAGCTCGGTTTGAGCAGGTTGCTTATAACCGCGTTCGACCATCTAGGGGCGGCTTTCTAGTTCGGTTCTAAAAACTAAGAGATTTGGCTTACCCCAGGACCTAAATTGGTTGAACTATGTGTTTGTTACTTCGGTTGAGCCTCTAGGGGCAGCTTTCGGAATTTGATATAGAACCCGAGAAAGCTGGCTTTACCCCAAAGGCTTTAGACTCGCGTCAATGACTTGAGGTTCCTAGTTTATTGAGTTCATATTTCTGTTTCGGTGATCTTATTTCTGCTTAAGTGTGAATCGGAAATTATTTTTCAAAGCTGGCTTCATCTTTTGCAAAGTTCTAGTTTCGTGTTAATTGTCCTAAGGTGACTCTACCACTAGCACAAAAACAGTATCCTAGTTCGGTTGGGCGAATTTTTGATCTAGGACTAGTTTTTTATAGAAGTTCATACACACATGAGCTCTGCTATTATTTTTTTCGTGAAAGTACAAAGCAAAAGCAACAAATGAAAAAAAAGTGTTGCAAAAAACATACAAAACAAAACTATACAGAGGGTAAAGCGGACAAAGAGCAGAAGGATAGGCTTGCTTTACCCGAATAGAAAGAAGCTAGGAAATAGGAGGCAATAGGCAGCAATGAGACACGAACACAGCAAGCTCAAAAACTCAGGGGCTCCAGGAACAAGGGAGAAAAGAAGCGTTGATAGGTTCATGAATGAAAAGAGTGTTTGGGTTGAATGAGAGAGAGGGAAAAGAAAAGGGAAAGAAGCGGGAACTGTTCAAAAATTTGCGAAACACGAAAGACGGCGATTTGACAGCCTCCTTCTACGAATGTGGGCCATGCCACGTGTATACGCGAAAGGGAAGCGTTACAGTCATGATTGAAGAGACGTTTTGACGGACAAAGTGAAGCCCGAAAGTAAAATTAGTTCGGCTGGAGAGGCTAAAGGTTTTAGCTCGGCGGAAGCTTAAAACTTCAGCTCGGTTGGACTGTAATCCCAATCTGCTGTTGCAGATGGAAATTAAGATAGAGGGCAATGATGAGAGGGTTAATTTTTATTGGTTAAAAATGGGCCGAGCTTATGTGATGGGCTTTGTGGCCCAAATGCGCAAGGACTTGGTGAAACGCCCGCAATGTTACTCCGGCCCAAGAAGGGTATAGTTACTCCGCCACAGAGATGCAAGGGCTAACTCCGGCATAAGAGAGAACAAATTTTACTTCTGGCACAGTGACTTTAAATACTTCGGTCCGAAAGGCAACTTGAGTATATCGGTCTTAAGTTATACTTGGCCGAAGTCATATGACCCCGGTCTAAGACTCTGTACTTATGGGTCTATCAGTAGAAAGCCAGATAAGAAATGAGAATAACACAAGAACCGAATTAAGGATGGAATCTCGGTTTACTCATGGCTCTGCATAGCAAGCTTTATATCGGCATTATAAGTAGTTCGGCCAAAAGTAAAACCATTCCCACTTGGTTAAACAGTGTATGGATGTGGAAGAAGGATACATCTAGGTATGAACTTCCTAGGTAGGACTCTGCATGGAGGAATTAAAAGTTCCCTACTAGGATTGTGCTCCACTGAAACTTATAAAAGCTCCACAAACATCAACCTTAGAGAAGGTAATTGAACACAATTTTCTGAGAACTTAGAGCTTTGTCTATTTGTCAAATTTTCTGACTTAGGCATCGAGAGGTTTCCAGGCACACACCCGCACGGCAGCTCACGTTTTGTTGTTTTCAGTGACAAAGCGACGTCGTACTGGAGGAGCGTGGACTTGGTCAACAGGATTACACGAAGAGAATTATTTCTTCCCCGTACATTAAATTATAAACAACAAATTGATTTTAATCATTATATTTCCATGTGAAAGTGAATATTCAAAATCAATTTAAATACATTCATTTAATCCTAAAATCTAATATAAGTAGATATCCTCCAGCCCAGCGATCCATCAGTGCCAGGTTGACAAACACAACACGTCTACGACACTAATGATGTACTTTGAAGACGAGGCTTGCTGGTGACAGGGCTGTGCTTTTAACATGTAACTACTATTGGCATAAGGTGTCCTAGTCATGCTTATTTGGGCTTCAATATGGAAAAAAGTTAGGCGACCAATAATAATAATAATAACTAGTTTACTAAAAAGTACTTCAAAAAATTTCAAAAAATAAAAAATAATAAAAAAAAATAGAAGGGGGAAATTATACTATTGATATATTTTTTTTTAATTTAAACCAAAGTTCATGTTGGTTGCTGTATTTTTAATTTCATTAATTTATACATCACATTTTGAAATCTGTTCAATATGATCTCTCCTGTCAATTGCCATCACTAGTTTGGACAAAAAAAAAAAAAGCACATTCAACTTATGTGAGAATATTTTTTTTTGAACAGGTATGTGAGAATATTTTGATCCCTCCAATTTCACAACTATTGTTTTACTATCTAAAATGTTAATAATAAATGAAGGAATATTATAACGGAATTAGAAGTATGAGATTTAAATTGATAAAATTTATACTATGAAAATTAAAGTGAAATTTGGCTCAAATTAAAATGACCAATGATATAATTTACTCAAAAATAAAATATATAATGTAAATTCAAGCTTAATTTAATAGGTCGGTCACACTAAAAATAAATTTGATCAGACATTTCTTTTTTGGGTTTGGATGCTCTCAACTTGGATAATCAAAGAGATACTATTAGGCTTTGTGAACCTATTTTAAGGCCTATCTTAATGATCCGAATTATTAATATTTTTTGAGACCTATTAAATAAAATATTCAAAAATGTTCCGGACCCCCTCTAAGTAGTGACCCCCACGACCCCCTTGCCTAATGAGGGTTGGTGATTGAGGGGGTCTCTATCAAAGTTGTAAAATATTAATGTAAAAAAATCAAGAAAGACGCTAAGATGGGGCCAGGCCAATGACACGTCTGATAATTTTTTTGAATTATTTTATCCCTTAATTTGTGATAAGTGTCATGTGGCTGTCAGTCAGCATTCATTACAAACAACCCTTCCTCAGGTAACATACATCCTCACTCCAAGATGCTTCTTTCTGTGGGTCTTAAATACCATATTCCACTCCGTTACAACTCATTTGGCCTTTTTTTTTAATGTGTTGTTGCTCATAAAAAATTTCATATTTTACACAAATGAATTGTGTGGATTTGGAGATCTATATATAAAGGCAAGTTGGGATGGTAGTGCAACAGTACTTATTTGGCACATTGGTCATATTTTTCTTTGGGAAAAAGCAAATCATAATATGGGTGGGTTAGATGATTACATGCCAGCACTGGCTATGTTTGGATTGCAAGTCGGTTATGCATTGCTTACTCTCTCAACCACGGCTGCTCTCTTGCAAGGAATGAGCCCGAGGATTTTTGTTGTCTACAGGCAAGCCATTACTACTTTGGCCATTGCTCCTCTAGCTTATTTCACAAGGTCTGTGTTACATCATCATCAGCATCATCATCATATCTCTCTCTCTCTCTCTCTCTCTAACTGCTAATTATGGTTCATAGAGTTGACATTAGTCCAATTGCAAAAAGCATATTTTAAAAATTGAACTGAAATTAAAGAGCAAAATAGTTTATTCTTTCTCTATAAAGTGATTGAGGGGTTAACAGGAATTTTTCCTTCTACATATTATATTATCTCATTTCAAAAATCTACTTCCGAAACAAACATACAGCACAATCAAATCATTTTATTCGGAAGTTTATTTTTTATCCAAATAGTTTTATTCAGAAATTGATTTCCAAACAAAAAATAAAATAAAATGCACCGAGAGGAAATTATGTGAAAATAGAAGCTCCTGTTGTTAACATAAAATTTAAAATGATTCATTCCCTTTTGATTTATCATTTTGTCTTTGATAATTGTTCAATTTTCTAATAAATATTATCAATCGGATTAAATTGACGCTGTAAAAAATTAAAGGGCAAAACTGTTACCATTGAAGTTACAACAACCAAATTGACATGAAAAATAACTTACATAGACTACAAGTGTAATTTATCTTTGCAAATATATGGAAGTGTTTTGGGATATAAACAACTACTTTTTTGGTAATTTTTCTCTTCCATTAGACTTCTGTTAACATAACCCTTGTTTTCTTGGTGCAGAAGAAAAACTAGTAGGTCATGTTTGGGGTTGAAGAGCTTTTCCTTGATATTTTTGGCTTCTCTTGTTGGGTAAATTTTCATATGAAGTTATTTTCTTTTTTGTTCCATTTTATGTTAAGGTTTAGTACTCGTGTTTTATCTATTTATTTATTTATTTATTTTGACAGTGTTACAATCAACCAGAACATCTACTTTGAGGTTTGTACTTTGGCTTCATCTTCAATGGGAAGTGCAATGGGAAATCTAGTCCCCGCCATAACTTTTGTAATAGCATCTTTTATCGGGTAAATTGCAAAAACATGCATTCTCAATGGCCACCACATGAACATCAAAACTTTCTAGGAGGAATCTGTTCGGTCTAGATTTGGACTGGAGGGTGCTTTTGGATCCGTGAGACCTATCAACAGGTCCATATCGATAATCTAAACTGTTCGTTTTATCGCACACTTTATGTATTTCATCTAAAAAAAAAATTAATTCGATTAACTTATTCAATTTTTCACTAAAAAAAATAATAACAATTGTGTTTTTTAAAATAAATTATACATTTTTTTTCAGTGAGAAATATAATAAATTGAATAAGTTATAGTTATCGGATTGATCTAATTTTTTGTAGATCCAATACATGAAGTGCCCAAAAAAATGAACGATTCGGATTATTAAAAAAGGACCAAAGGTGGGTCTCATGAACCCAAACAACACCCTCCAATCTAAAATTTAGATGGGGGAATCCTCCTCCTACCCAAAACATCTAAAAAGAAAATAATATTCTGAAAAAATACTTTTGTTAGAAAATTGTATCTACTAAATAAATAGTGCGTTTAATTTGTTACATATATGCATTCGCACTGAATCACTTCTTTTTTTTAAATTTAAAAAAAAAAAGGTCATGTCCCTCTTATTTAACCCATCTTAATTAAATCATACAAATAAATTATAGAAATTTGTTTATGAATGACCATGTTAATACTTTAGACAATACTGGATAAATTCATTTTCACCATTGCAAATGCGACAATATTTCAAATTAAAATTAATCGTTTTACTACATCATGTAAGTGGGGGAAAACTTGAGAAACAAACAAGAATTTTGTGGGATATCCCCCTTGTTAGAATATCCCTCTCTAACAAGATCCATGTAGATTTCATTTTTTAGTTTAACTGGTTGATGAAAGAAATCAAATAACAAAAATTTGGTGTGACCATGTTCTTCATTTATTTTATAAGTCAAATCTCATCATGCCAACATATGGATTTTGTTTTAAATATGCAACTTGGAATAACTTAGAGGTTTGTTTGACATCTAGTTAAATTTATATTTTTTTAAATTTGGTTTCAAATGTTTTTTTAATTTTTTGGTCCATATAGTGTAGAAAAATCTATAAATTACAAAACTTAATTAAAAAAGGCCAAAAATTTACTATTTTTTTTTTCCCTCCTCTAGTGGATTTCTTTTCAATTTTTGTATTGGTTTTTTTTACTTTTTTTGATCGTCTAGTGAAATAAAACCCTAAAACTTAAAACTTTTTGAAATAAAAAATAAAAATCTAAAGACAAAAAAAAAAAGAAAAAAAAAGAAAAAAAAATGAACTATAAAAACTACTGTAAAAATAAATCCCAAACACCCATTTGGTGGTGTTTGATAAAGCTGGAAATTGAAAATTAAGAATTGAAACTGAAATGCTGAATTTTTTAACACTGAAAAACCGTTTTGATAAAAATTTAAGTGATGAACTAAAAATAAGTTGTGTGATAATATATATATATATAATAAGATCAAATTTGAAATTTATTATTTTTAAATTATTACATTTAAAATTTTCTATGGTGATGGTGATGGTGGTAGTAGTGGCAGTGGTAGTATGGTGTGGTGGTAGCAATAACGATAGTAAATGATAATAAAGTGATGGTGTAGCTTATCCAACAATAACAATGATGATGAAAGTAGGGTAAGTTGTGGTGGTAGTGGCGGCATGATAGTGGTGGTAGTGGTAGCGTTAATAGTGGTGGTGGTGGTGGTGTGGAGGGGGGTGGCGGAGACATGGTGGCGGTAACGGTTGCGGTTACAATAGCAGTAGAGATGGTAGTGGTAGTAAAACAATGGTGGTACTTATGAAAATAATAATGGGGTGAATGTAGTGGTAAATAGTGGTGGTGGCATGATGGTGGTGGTGGCAGTGGCGGTGACATGGTAGTGAGGTGGTAATGGTGGTGGTATTGGTGACATGATGGTGTTGGTTATGGTGGTAGTGGTAGTGGTGGTGGTGCTGAGTTTGTAATAGTGTTTAAATTTAGTCAAAATTAAGTAAATTTCATATAATTTATTATTATTATTTTTTAAAAAAAAATTTAACCTACATTTGAAGAGGCACTTAAATTTTTACGTGATATCAATTGTG